GATTATATGTACAGGTATAGATGTAAGCGCGATAGAGACTGTGCAGATGCCTTCCTGGCTGGTAGTCTTATATGGTCTATCGGCGGTCATGTGTTCTCTCTCTCTCTCTCTCTCTCTCTCTCTCTCTCTCTCTCTCTCTCTCTCTCTCTCTCTCTCTCTCTCTGTGTGTCCGTGTGTGTAACTCCTGGTTATCCTGTGAGATGCAAGGGAGGTCGTGTGGAGGTCGTGTGTTAGCTCCCCCTCTCTCATATTTCCTCTTTCGCTCTCTCCACTCTCGCGCTGTCCTCTGTCCTCTCTCTCTCACTCTCCTCTGTCCTATGTCCTCTCTCTCTCTCTCTCTCTCTCTCTCTCTCTCTCTCTCTCTCTCTCTCTCTCTCTCTCTCTCTCTCCGATAAGTCGCATCGGGGGTCATGTTTTAGGTCTGTTTCTCTGTCCCTCTCCCTCCCTCTCGTCTCCCCCTCCCCCTCTCTTCCCCCTTCTCCCTCTCCGTCTCTCTCCTCCAATCTCTCTCGCTTTATCCTGTCCCTCTCTCTCTCCCCCTCTTCTTCTCCCTCTCCGTCTCTCCTTGTCTTTCTCACTCTCTCCTTCTCCCCCTCTCCCTTTCCCTCTCTCTCTCGTCCTCCTCTCTCTCTCTCTCTTTCACTCCATCAAAACGCGTTACTGCAACAGTCGAGGTCGAGGGGTAGTTCGATCGATTGGTCGGCGTGGATGTGCTTCCCATGATCGATGCCCGTAATAGTTCTGCTCCCGATGCTAGAACCGTGCATACCATCTGAATGACAAAACGAGGAAGAGGTAAGGCTACTTGCTGCTTGTTTTCCTTTTTCTCTTTCTTTTTTGCTGTTGTAGTTGCTGTTGCGATTCCTTTACGGATCTTTTCTTGAGTTGACCGACTGGGGTACCCTGGATAATTTAGAACGATTTTTTTTTTGTATTCAACTGGTTCGACCTGGATTCGAACTTGGGTCTGTATGTCAACAGTTCATAGGTTGTACCGACTGGGCTAGACCTGTCGGTCGGTTTATGGATCCCGTCTCGCTTCTTTTTTTTTTTTTTTTTTTTTTTTTTGTGATTGCAAAACGGTAAGTTCGTGGATCCTATCGCGCTTTGCAAAGGATAATGTCATATTGCCTTTTTTTGTTTTTGGTTAATAACCAGAACCTTATGGTTCTGGCTCGTTATCCATTCTGGGAAGCGTCGTTCCGGTATGTTACATTACCGTTGATTTATTAAAATTTAAAAGTTTGCAAAACCATTTATTCGTATTGGCCGATGGAACTTAAAACTCAAGTCGGTAGAAATAGGCGGGAAGATTATGATGTGAATAATTTCAAATTTTGGTAGTTAGTTGAACAAATGCAGATTATTATCGAATTAACCTCTCCTTTGAACTTCACTCAAATTGGTAAATTTTATAATGTATGATTTGAAATTTCGTCCGTTGTTTTTTGTCCTTGGGGACATCCGTTGAAATTGGAACGATACAGAGAAAGAAGATTAGCATGGCTTTTGCGCAAGGATGACACGCATAAATCGAGAAATGGTCCAAATTTTCGTTAAAAAAAAAAAAAAATTGTTTTTTTTTGAGGCAATGCGAATTTAGGAATTTCGGTTGAGCTCATCTTGAATCGGTAGATATTACGAATAATTTTGATTTTTTTTAATTTTATTTTTTGGTGAAGCAATGCGAATTAGTAATTTCGTTTGAATTTAAAACCCGAATCCGAAATTTTGAATCAACTTGAATGGCACTTCGTTGCCCTATGTTGGAGCATTACAATTTACTTTTTTTTTATTTATTTTTTTATTTTGATCGTTTCTCGATTTATGCGTGTCATCCCTGCGCAAAAGTTGGAACAATACAGAGAAGGGTAGCGTTGTCCCTGTGCGAGGCTGGCACGCATTTTTTGTTTTCTTTTTTTTTTCCCCCAGCTATTGTAGTTGATAATTACTCTTGATTGAGTTCAAGCCTAGGCTACCAGAGTGGCCCGGGGCCACTTGCCTGGCCGGGCCAAAAAAAAAAAAAAAAAGATTTGGTAAAGAATTTTGATGTGACCCTGAGGCAGAAGTTGTTCAGTTTATTTTTATGCATAACATAGTTTGTTTTTGGAATTTTTATTTCTTTTTTGCTGGGAGCTTACCTGGTCCTTGCACGGCTGGCCCGCCCGCCCGGGAAAACAAGGTGACCCGGGCGGCCCGGCGGAGGTTAAACTAGAATCGGTACAACTCAAATAAAGTCAACTAGAAGTACTGGAAGTCCGCGTGACGGATTTCAACAAACGAGTCCCGTTCCAACGGCATTGTTTTTTTTTTTTTTTCGCCATTGCTAGGTTACCAGCAGGGGCGCCGGGGTCAACTTGCTTTCCCAGGCGGCCCGACCATGCAAGGGCCGAAGGTAGTCTCAGCGCGAAAAAATAATTAAAAAAAAAACTGTAAGAAAGCTGTGTGTTATGCGGAAAAAGAAACTGAACAACTTTTGCCTGAGGGTGACATCTAAATTCTATACCAAATTTAAAATAAAAAGGTAAAACTGCATCTGTACGCACTTAAAGATGGGAATACCGGCTATATACCCCAGAAAAACGGCTGGGGGAAAGTGTTTGCATGCCCAGGACCGAGGTGGACCAAGGTTGGTACCGCAAAATTGCGGTTATAACGAACTACCGGAATGCACAAATTAGAGACATACCCTGGCAGAATTATGGGCATGCCCGGGACCTGAGGAGGAGCGGCCAAATTGTTCATATACCCTGCTACTGGATGGCTGAAATTATGCTCACACCCAGCAGCCGTTGGGCCACAACAGTCTACTTGGTGGGCATGGCCATAATTTGGTGCTCTGAATCCAGGGCCTGTGGGATTGGGTACCCCTACAATTTCGAACAGGGGAAAAGCTGGTTACTATGCGAAGGTGAACGGCCTCGGGGTACAGGTGCAAGTTTGCGGTGGGACTGGTAGTGGGGTACGGATGCTTTAATGATTCTATTGTGGAAGAGAATGGCCCGCCGAGGTAATTCAGAATTATTTTGTTCTGGTCATCTGATTGCATTTGGATTCGAATTAGGGTCTGTATTTCAACAGTTCGTGAGCTGCCGGTAGGCCCGTTGGTGTTCCACGCCATTCTTTTTCTTTCTATATTCTTCTCGCCATTCAACTTCACCTGGTTCTTTTTTTTTTTTTCTGTCATGAAGGGAAACAAAAGAGTGACGTTAGTCGGCTAAGTAAATTATTTTATATATTAAGAACCGATAAAAGAAAGAAAAAGGACAGAATGAGACTGTAACACGTCGCAGGAGTGAAACTGATCGCGACTCGAGAAAGGGCCTAGTTGAGCCAAAATTCTGAATGAATCTGAACAGTATCCTGTCCTGATGCATTTTGAAAATGATGCCGGATGGCGAGCAGTGCAACTAGGGTGATAGCGACCGAGCTCAGCCCATGGGCCTCGCTCTACTACTCACCAAATGTGCCAATCGAGAATGAATCTTCCCCTAGAACACAGGGGGATACACCCCCATATTTTTTTGTCGTTTGTGCATGGTGAGTAGTGGAGCGAGGCCCCATGTGACGAGATTGTGAAAGTAGAGCGGAGCTCAGCGCGACTCATCGTCACTCGGAAAGCCCCCAGAAGAGAGGAGAGTGGAACTACAGTAGTCGTGACTCATGGGAACTGGAAAAGCCGTGGGACTTATCTGAGGTCCCCGGCCTCGTCCTATTGAATTTTTGCCAAAAAAAAAAAAAAAAAAAAAGCCGTGGGACTTATCTCCGTGTGAGCCGATTGTCAGAGCGGGCCCACTACT